GGGAAGAAATACTTTTTGGGGGTTTTTTCGATTTCATTTATGGCTTTTAGTTCTCCCGGAATTTCCCGACTCCCAAAAGGGTTTTTTTAGCCCTTAAATTTTGATGCTTTTCTATTTCTCTGACCATGTCCTTTCCCCACGCATTTTGATATATTGACCTCTTTTAGCCGTTGTTATTCTTTTTCCCCCTGTAAAGGGAGGGCCCCGTCCTTTCTGTTTACATCTACTCCCTTTCCTTTTTTTTTAGAGGAAAAAAGCCTTGTGCATACATCAGGTTTTCCGAGTTTAATTTGTTCTAGGCAAAATTGGGGTCTGTGTTTCTTTGTAAAATCTTTCCCAGCCCTTTTATCGGGGTTTGGACTTTTTTTAAATTGGTCCCCCTTTTGTTTTTTTTTTATTGAAGTTGAATTTGGTGGGAAAGCCCCTCGGACTAATCTCATTATAAACGGGCTTTGGGGGTCCGGCATTTCTTTACGAACCCCAATTTTTTTGGGGATCCAAATATATTTTTTTTTTTATATGGTGATATTTTTTATCAGACACATTTTTAGTGAAGATGAGGTTTAGGGATTCTCCAGGGCTAGAAGGGTCTATTATTTGTGGGTTTTAAAATTTAATTTTGTGCAGAGGGTTTTTAAAAACTTTGCGTGGGGTGTGAGTTTTTTATCAGAGCTGCCTCCTGGTGTTTTTACTGCAACAAAATTATTTTTATATTCCTCCATTTTAGGTGCCCTTAAATTGAAAATCCCCCAGGAGCAAAATGTTTGGGGGGCAGGAGGGTGGAAGGTTTTCCCGACGTGGTCAATTTTTAAAAGCTGTTCCCGGAAAAAAAAAAAATAAAAAAATTTTAAAAAAAAAAAAAGGGAAAAAAATTTTTTTTAAAGTAAAAAAAATTTTAAAAAAAAAGTTTGGAAAAAAAGGGGAAAAAAAAAACAGGAAAAATTTTCCCGTTTTTGCCCTCCGGAAAGGTTTTTAACCCAACCCAAAATTTTTGTTCCAAGGGCCTTTTTTGTTTCCCCCATATTTTTAAAAAGGGGAAATTGCTTTCCCCGGGAAAAATCCCGGGGGTGAAAGGAACCCCCCCTTTGTTTTTTTTCTGGTCAACCCCGAAATATGGGAAAGTTTTCCTGGTGGAAAATTTTTTCTATTTTTTTCCCAAATTTCCCTTTTGTTTGGGGTTTTGGAAAAACCGAAATTTTTCCCTAAATTCCAATTGGAAGGGGGTTTTTAGTTGTTTTGTTTCCCGGTTTAAAAAAAACCCTGTAATTTTCCAAAAGGAAAAATTGTTTATATTTGGTATAGTTGGTTTTAACTGGGGGGATTTTTTTTCCGGCATTAGTATCTGTATCTGTTGGTTTGGAGTGCTTTTATTTTTCCTAAATCCAAATTGGCAGGGGTTGAGTATGTTTTGTGCTGTTATAAATGAATACAGTCTCCTGTGCACGAGTTTCTCAAAGATTTTGGATAGCAATGGTAAGTTTGATATTGGCCTATAGTTGTTTAAGTCTGTAGGGTCACCACCTTTATGTATTGGTGTAACCCTTGCCATCTTGAGTAGTTTCAGGAAGGTGCTAGTTTCTAGTGACTTGTTAAAAAGTAATGAAATAGCATGCGAAAGGAAATGGGCCGCTCGCTTGTACAGTAATGGTGGGACATTAGAGAGATTCCCTGAGTTGTTTTTACCTGGAGTTTACCTGGAGAGAGTTCCGGGGGTCAACGCCCCCGCGGCCCGGTCCGTGACCAGGCCTCCTGGTGGATCAGAGCCTGATCAACCAGGCTGTTGCTGCTGGCTGCATGCAAACCAACGTACGAGCCACAGCCTGGCTGGTCAGGAACCGACTTTAGGTGCTTGTGCAGTGCCAGCTTGAAGACTCCCAGGGGTCTGTTGGTAATCCCCCTTATGTATGCTGGGAGGCAGTTGAACAGTCTCGGGCCCCTGACACTTATTGTATGGTCTCTTACCGTGCTAGTGACACCCCTGCTTTTCATTGGGGGGATGTTGCATCGTCTGCCAAGTCTTTTGCTTTCGTAGTGAGTGATTTTCGTGTGCAAGTTCGGTACTAGTCCCTCTAGGATTTTCCAGGTGTATATAATCATGTATCTCTCCCGCCTGCGTTCCAGGGAATACAGGTTCAGGAACCTCAAGCGCTCCCAGTAATTGAGGTGTTTTATCTCTGTTATGCATGCCGTGAAGGTTCTCTGTACATTTTCTAGGTCAGCAATTTCACCTGCCTTGAAAGGTGCTGTTAGTGTGCAGCAATATTCCTGCCTAGATAGAACAAGTGACCTGAAGAGTGTCATCATGGGCTTGGCCTCCCTAGTTTTGAAGGTTCTCATTATCCATCCTGTCATTTTTCTAGCAGATGACTTCCGAGGGCTCAGTTGGTGCAAGATAGAAGGAATTTGGGAAATTCCCATCTAGGTAGTCCCCGGCATGGGCTTTGGTATGTGGGTTTTATGGGCGAGATTAGATCCTAATTCAAATTCAAATTCAAATTCAAATTCAAAGTTTATTAGAAAACATCTTTCTCCCTGTTTACCCCCGTCAAAACAAACACAATCCACCTGGTGGTTCACACTTACCCCCTCACCTTTTGACCTAAAAAAATATTAATCTCATTTAAAAAAATGATCCTTGATACCCAATACTGAAACTATTACGTGCCAAAACAAAAGCTTTTTCACTTGCTAAACTCTAAATAGTTTTAGTCACTTACCCATAAAATCCCTTCCCTAAAAATTTGTAATTTTACATTAAAAAATAAAACTAAGTTGCCCAAAAATGCTACCCATCTAAGCGTTCTAGTGTACCTCTAAATCACAATTTTACTACATGTAAACCAAAACAAAAAAACCAAAAATTTCAAAAACTCGCATTGAAATCCTTAAGAGAATAATTTAAATTTGAATTTGAATTTGAATATAAGGATTACAAGCTGATTTACGAAATTTGGGTATTTGGGTTACATGTAGTAAAATTTTGTTACAGAGTGTCCATAAAACGTTTAGCTGGCTGGCATTTCGGGCAGTTAGTTTTATTTTAATTGTAAAATTTTTACAAATTTGGGGAAAGTTGGTTTTATGGCAAGTACTAAAACTAGTTTTTTGAGTTTCAATGTGAATGTTTTGTTTTGGCAATACATTTTTCAGTAGGGTTATAGGTTCTTATTTTAAGATTGAGATTAATATTTCTGTTTATGGTCAAATGAGTGAGTGAGTGTAAGTGTGAACCACCAGGTGGTATTTTTTGTAGTTTGTTGAGGGGGGTTCGGGGGATAAGATGTTTTCTAGTGGTAGTTTTGAAGGTGATGAATGTGTTGCATTTAGAGTTCTCAGGTGGGGGGGGGATTCCCGATTTTAGGGCCTTTGACATACATTGAATTTTTTAAAGTTTGTCGGACACGGGGGAAAGCGTAGAATGTTTTGTTGGGGTTTTTGCCTGGGGTTTCTGTCACAACTATCAAGAAACGTTTTAGGTCAAGTTGATTTTTGGTTTAAGGCCCCGTAGATGTAGATTTCACAGTGTAAGTGTGGTGTACTGAATGGGGTAAATTTTGGTTATGAATGGGGGGGGGGTGTTGCCAGGATGGGACTTAGTGATTTTTTTACTGCAGCTTTTTGTTGGGTTTTATTGGGTTTAGGTGTGTTTCGTTGATCCCCAAGCACAAAAAAAGCATAGGTGAGGTATGGATAAATAAGTGAGTGGGATAGTGTGAGAAGGGCATTTTGCGGCACGTAGTATCGTATCTTGGAGAGGAATCCCAACCGTTTTGGATACTTTTTTGGTTATATGCTGGATATGGGTGCTGAATTCAGGTTGTTGTCAAGGAAATAAGCCTAGGAATTTGCCCCCATTATTTCGGGTAATTAGAGTGTTGTCAATCTTAATGTTAATTTGTGCATCTCCTGCTCTGCTAACCAAACATAATATAGCTGGTTTTGTCATGTTAAGTGTAAGTTTATTGGCTGTCATCCAAGTCGATATTTTTAATCAGCTCCTCTTCACAATGGTGTTGAGGGTGGCAAGATTAGGGTGAGGAAAATGACCTAAGTCGTGTCATCAGCAAAGAGAATGGGTTTCAGGTGTTGGGATACGTTCGGAAGGTCATTGATGTATATGAGGAAGAGCAGGGGACCAAGGACACTTCCCTGCGGAATTCCAGTATCAAGTGGCCGTGTTGCTGATGCTGTGTCTTTAATGGTGACGTACTGATACCTATTAGTAATGTAAGATTTAAAATAAGCAAGCGCATGGCCTCTTATACCGTAATGATCAAGTTTGTGGAGTAGGATGTCGTGGTCTACTGTGTCAAAAGCTTTTCTTAGGTCAATAAAAATTCCTAGTGGATATTCCTTATTTTCCTATGGTTGAGAAGAAGTCGTTTATTTTGTTAGCTGTGTCAGTGGGATGTAGTGGTGTTTCATTAGGTTTAGTTAGGACAATATTCTTGTTTTTTTTCAGTTTGTGGGTCCCTAGAATCTGAATCTGAGAGAGTGTTTTCCAGGTCTTTTTTTATATCTCCTCTAGTGTCTGTGAATCTACTGGAGTAGTATAGTTGTTTGGCTTTCTTTATTACTTTGGTGAGAACTGATGAATAGTGTTTAAGAATATCTTTGTGTATTAAGCCCTGTTTATATTGCTTTTCATATTGGTGTTTCTTGTCAATGGATTTCAGAATGGTGCTGGTTAGCCATGGGCAATCATATGATGACCCGCTGTTGGAGCGTCTGGTCATCTGACCGAGGCCTTCAGCTGGCTTACTAGTTCACCCCTTTAAAATTTATGGTCATAATTATAACCATTGTTAATTAATAAAGTTTAGAATGTGTGATTTACATTTTGTGAAGGGTAAATGTATTTAATATTACTGCTCGTGAACATTTTTAAATTAATGATATTCACAACTTTCTCATTCTTGTGAAGTCTGTAATTATTATAACGCTAGAACTGTATAGTTATGGATAAGAATCTAAGGTATATTTATTTTTGATGTGTTTGCGAGAGCTGTGCTGCTCGTAGGTGGCTGAAGTATTGGAACAAAACAAATGTGTTTGAATGGGTCGTTAGAGCACATAGGTGCTGCTGGAGCACACAGGTGCTACTGTGATATTATCTGAGGGTGAAGGCTGGTACTAGGTGATGGCGGCGAGGTAGATCCTAGTGCTACATTGCTGTTATCAACGTCAATCACAATCATCAGTGGGTGATGGCTGGCCAGGGCAAGTTTGACGCCCTCACCAAGGAACTCATTACTCATGTTCTGGGTTTCCAGGTAATTTTATTTTGTCACTAGGTCTCCCATCCCCCGAGGTGCTAGTGTAGGGCTCCTGATGTGGGGGACATTAGCACCTGGAGGCTGGGACTGCTTGCCTGAGAAGATTGGGGTCCTTTAGCTGTAATGACCCCAGTGGGTTTAGTGCTTGGTTTTGATAATAATAATGGGGTCCTTTAATCGTGTCCTCCAGGATGCGATCCACAACAGCCGGTAGGCCTGGTAGGCAACGCTCTGGATTTGCACACTGGGTGTCAGTGGTTCAATCCCTGGCAAGGGTGGAAACTCTGCATGGGTTTCCTTACACCTGTTGTCCCATTCACCAAGCATGCAAGTAGGTACCTGAGTGTTGGTCAGCTGGTGTGAGTTGCATCCTGGGGGACAAGATTGAGGACCCCAATGGAAATAAGACAGACAGTCCCTCGATGACGCACTGATTTTCTTAGGTTATCCTGGATGGCTAACCCTCCGGGGTTAAAAATCCGAACAAAATCCTATTTCTCGTGTATATAATACAGTAATGTTTTTCATGATAAAATAAATTACATGAATATTTTTCAAATGTATGTGAAACATAAAATCATAGCACATAAATTAAGCTAAGATTATTCTGTTAATTCAAAATAAAATTCTAATGAAGATTACAATGAGAGTGAAACTGGTTACTTGTATTATTACAGAACATGATGAGATAGTATTGTACATGTAAGTATGTAAGACATTAGTGATATTCATAATAAAACTGATTATGAGAATGACTCAGATTACCTGGACAGATAAAATCCTAGCAAGTTACATGAGAATAAGAATACTTATATTATACAGTATTAAAAGTACAGTATTTGGCAATTCAAAAAAAAATTATGGAAGAAATGAAGCTAGTTGCATTTAGTGATACTGTGAGCAGAGTAACATTTATGAAGGGGTTCAGGGAAACCGGCAGGCCAGATTTGAGTCCTGGAGATGGGAAGTACAGTGCCTGCACTCTGAAGGAGGGGTGTTAATGTTGCAGTTTAAAAACTGTAGTGTAAAGCACCCTTCTGCCAAGACAGTGATGAAGTGAATGATGGTGAAAGTTTTTCTTTTTCGGGCCACCCTGCCTTGGTGGGAATCGGCTAGTGTGATAATTAAAGAAATAATAATTGTCAGGATCACATTAAGGTAAGGAGTTGGAAATAAATGATATAAAATACCGACACAATGAAAATATAAACACGTGCAGTATAATGTGATCCTTTATCGACAACGTTTTGCTCACACAGTGGGCTTTTTCAAGTCACAAACAGATCTACCTGGGGTGGAAGGTACGCGAGTATTTATAGTCAGGTTCAGAATGTTGAAGTCAGGTGGAGAATGCTGCATCTAATGATCTACCGAGTGGAGTTATGGAGTCTAAAATCTTGGGTAGCTTGGAAGGGAGATTGGATAAGTTTGTGAGCAGACCTTCTGCAGTGTTCCTCCATTCCTATGTTCTTATGTGGGATAGCGATGAAGAAGTTTCTTGGCAAGTGGTTCAGCTATGTTATAGAAGCCATTGTTCTGGTTGAAATTGTCGGATATGGAGATAAGTGATGATTCCAGGATTCCTCGGTATTGAGTGTTGACTTCTCTGGTGATAAGTCTTGAGTTTCTGTAGTTTATTAAATGGTTGTGTGAATTACGGTGTTGTACACAGGCATTTCTTGTATCGTCAGACCTGCTTGTGCATTGGTGTTCTGAAATACGTGTTTGGAGGTCTCTTGATGTTTCGCCCACGTATAATTTGCTGCAGTCATTACAAGGGATTATGTATACCCCTGCAGAGGATGGAAGCTTGTCCTGTCTATTACTGGTAATGTCCTTGATGGCCGTGGTTGTGGAGGTAGATACTTGGAATGAGGTATTGGAAAAGATGTTGGAAACGTTTGGCAATGGAGTTGGTGGGGAGGACTATGTATCTCATCTCGGCAGTGTTTTCTCTGGGTGTGTTGAAGATGTTTAATGTCCTTCGTCTGCAGTCTCTGATGAAGTGACGAGGATAGTGAAGTTTGGAAAATACTTGTTCAATTATAGTGCATTCTTCCTCAAGGAACTCATTGCTGCAGATTCTGAGTGCACGCAGGAAAAAGCCTATAATTACACCACGTTTAGTTTTGGTGTCGTGGTGAGAGTAGAAGTGGAGAAGATCTTCAGGAATAGGCAGTGCTCCCCACCAACTCTCAGGAATTTTCGCAAAACACGTCTAAACTCTTGGGCACTATCAGTCCAGGACATCTCAAACACTCGGGTGATCTTCTCAGTCGCATTCGCAACATCAACATCAAGAACAAGAAGCTCTCTAGCCTTGATGTAACTTCCCTATTCACCAAAGTACCCACTACACAAACTGTCAATCTCTTGCACAGGAAAATTGACAAATCACTTGATATTCCTATTCCAGCCAGCGATTTCATCGACCTTGTTGAACTATGTGTTGTCTTTACGTGTTTCTCTTTCGAGAATCACCTCTTTCAACAGACTTTTGGACTACCCATGAGTTCACCACTCAGTGCCATCCTGGCAAACCTATACATGGAACATCTGGAGGCCGAGCGTTTCTCCAACATTATTCCTTCGTCTGTCACCTGGCTCCGTTATGTTGACGACATTCTCCTCGTAACTCCCAGACGCTTTAACATTCAACCTCTCCAAGACAAGCTCAACCAGGTCGAGCCCTCAATCCAGTTCACACTTGAAGAAGAAGAACGACAACACACTTCCTTTCCTTGATGTTCTTCTCTGCAAAGCTGACCATAAACTTGGTTTTAAAGTCTTTGGAAAACCCGCCAACCAAAACGATCTTCTCCACTTCTACTCTCACCACGACACCAAAACTAAACGTTGTGTAATTATAGGCTTTTTCCTGCATGCACTCAGAATCTGCAGCAATGAGTTCCTTGAGGAAGAATGCACTATAATTGAACAAGTATTTTCCAAACTTCACTATCCTCATCACTTCATCAGAGACTGCAGACAAAGGGCATTAAACATCTTCAACACACCCAGAGAAGTCACTTCCAAGAAGCTATACATAGTCCTCCCCACCAACTCCATTGCCAAACACGTTTCCAACATCTTTTCCAATACCTCATTCCAAGTATCTACCTCCACAACCACGACCATCAAGGAAGGACATTACCAGTAATGGACAGGACAAGCTTCCATCCTCTGCAAGGGTATACATAATCCCTTGTAATGACTGCAGCAAATTATACGTGGGCGAAACATCAAGAGACCTCCAAACACGTATTTCAGAACACCAATGCGCAAGCAGGTCTGACGATACAAGAAATGCCTGTGTACAACACCGTAATTCACACAACCATTTAATAAACTACAGAAACTCAAGACTTATCACCAGAGAAGACAACACTCAATACCGAAGAATCCTGGAATCATCACTTATCTCCATATCTGACAATTTCAACCAGAACAATGGCTTCTATAACATAGCTGAACCACTTGCCAAGAAACTTCATCGCTATCCCACATAAGAACATGGGAATGGAGGAACACTGCAGAAGGTCTGCTCACAAACTTATCCAATCTCCCTTCCAAGCTACCCAAGATTTTAGACTCCATAACCCCACTCGGTAGATCATCAGATGCAGCATTCTCCACCTGGCCCAGCATTCTGAACCTGACTATAAATACTCACGTACCTTGAAAAAGCCCACTGTGTGGGCGAAACATTGTCAATAAAGGATCACATTATACTGCATGTGTGTGTATATTTTCAAGGTAAGGAGTTGTTTTTGAACAGTAGCTTTGAAATTGGCTGACAGGAAACATCTGGAGTCTTCAGGCAAAGAGTTCCAGATTTAAGGCCCTTTTATGCTCATTGAGTTTTTATGCAGGTTGAGTTGGAGTAGGGGAATATCTTAGGGAATTTTGTATCTCGAATTTTGCCTATGAGTACTATTGAAGCTATCAAGTAAGTTTTAGGGCAGGGTTAGTATTATAATTAATTGTTCTCTGTATGTAGTAGGTAAAGAAGAATGAGTGAATTTTATGTATATTAAGTAAGTGGGGAAATGGGTTGCCTGGCACTATACTGGGTGATCAATCATACTGCCACTTTTTGTTGAGTTATTATTGACTAGGTGATTTGCTGTAGTGAATCCCAAGGCACAAATAGCATATGTAGGTGAGGTAAGAATAGATTAAATAGTAGTATAACATAAGTAGTGCTGTCTGAGATGCATAGTAACATATCTTGGAGAGGATGCCAACATATCTGGATACTTTTTTTATGTGCTGAATGTGGGTTTTGAATTTCAAGTTGCTGTTGAGGTACTAACCTAAGAAGTTTCCTTCATTTTATTTTGCTATAGGAGAACCGTTAATCAGAATTTAGTTGGACATTTGCAGCTCTGTTCCTAAACATCACATAGAAGGTCTTATCAGTGTTATGAGTGAATTTATTGGTAGTCATCTGCTAGATATCTTTATGAGCTTCTCATCGACATTGTTATTGAGAGAGTTCAGATTTGGGTGGGAGGTGACAAATGTTTTCTGCAAACAGAACAGGTCTAAGTTGTTGAGATGCAGTTAGATCATTGATGTATACAGGAGGGTCCCACATATACAGCTCCCTCTTTTCAGTGTTCCACATTTTCATTGACTCACAATGAAGCCATTGTTCATTATGTTCAGTGTTTTTACTTCTTTTCTGCCATTATTGCCATTTTCTTACAACAGTTGCGTAAGGAAGGACAACCGGCACAGTATTTTAAGGTAAGTATTGTATGTACTTTGTATGTATTTTTTCTTTTTTTATATTTTTGTTTTGTATGTCTAACTGTATTGAGCACTTAATATATTATAGTGTAAACATTTTAGCAGGCATTGTAGATGCATTTGATAATGACAAATGAAAAATGATTTTTTCCACCCACCAGCAGTGTTTCACTTATCATTTGGGGGTTGCCAACCTTTGAGTCATACGAGGAAAAGCAGAGGGCCTTGGGGCACCCTTATACTTATGTCAATAGGTCGTATTGATGAGGTTATTCCTTTGATGGAGACATTGGTGTCTGTTATTAAGGTAGGACTTTATGTATGCAAGTGCATGACCTCTGATACTATAGTTTAAGATGTAGGATGCTGTGTTCTTTTGTAAAGAAAGATTTCCTAAGGTCTATAAAGAGGCTCAGTGAATATTCATTATTATCTAGGGCTGCTTAAAGTAAATCAAGCATTTTTATTGCATTGTTTGTGCTTTTATTTGTCCTGAAACCATCCTGGTAGGGGTAGAGTATAATGAGTGAGTCTAGGAAAGAGTACAATGGAACCTTGACTTAAGAGTTTAATCCCTTCCAGGAGCTAGCTCGTAACTCAATTTACTCATATATCAAATTAATTTTACTCATTTAAATTAATTGAAAAGCCATTAATTCGTTCCTGCACTCTGGAGAGACGAAAAAGTTACTTGAATATGATGCTATTATCAACTGTATGGCTTATTTATCTACCACAATTCATCTAATATGACATAAACAGTATAATTAACACAGAAACATGATATGTACTCTAGCATGAATAAAATAGGCGATAATATGGTGGCAGAGGCAGTGACAGAAGTGTCCGCCATTTTCTGTCTAACTTTGACTATATGTAGTATCTTCCCATGCTCTTTTTGTAAGAGAAAATAGAGTATTTTTGAGGCTAACTGCAGTAGATCACTAGTTTTCTAAGGAAAACACTGAAAATATCGTATATAAACATATAAATCATATATAAAATATTGTATATTAACATACACTACAGAATGTAAAGAAATAATAAACTGTTTATATAAAGTGTATATGTACTTAAACACTTGGAGCAGAGATGGTGGTGGAGGTTGAGTGTGGAGGAGGTTGCGTGTAGGGGAGATTGGCAGTTCAGCACATGATGTTAGTGGCCCCGTAAGCCTTCAACAACAACAACAACAGTTTTGTTTCATTGCTGAACTTAACTCATACAATTTGTTTTATCACTTAACTGATACAATTTGTTTTGTTAAATCACTGAATATAACTGATATTATTTTTTTGTTTAATCACTGAACATAACTGATACAATTTATTTTGTTTAACTTTTAACTTCTTTCACTTGTTCTTACTTTTCACTGCCTCGTGCCTTCTCTCAGATGGTACCCTCAGTCATGGTATCTCCTGCGAGCTGCTTCTCTCTCAACCACATCAGCAGCAGCTTCTCAATCTTTTCATGGACAGAGGTCCGCAGCTTAGACATTATTGTAATGCCCTTGGCTGGCGCTATAGCCTTTATCGACTCCTGCTGCTTTAGTATCGTACATATAGTAGATGTACGTACTTCCCTGGTATTGTCTGGTTAAATGAACAACTTTTATACCTTGCTTATGTTTATCTATGATTTTGTGCTTTAATTCCATGGAAATCATCGTCTTTTTCTTCTCAACATTGTCCTTTGCACTTATTTTCTTAGGACCAATGGTTAGAAAAGCGAAATTTGGCCAAATGACTGTCAAAAATGTAAGCAAAGCAGGAGAGAACTGCTCCCACAGCGATGAAAACGTATACGTACTGCTTAGCGGATGTTTTCAAATCAGCTGCGCTAACTAGCAGCAGCATTCATAATTATTATTACGTGCGTATTATGTACATAAGTACGTAATTGTAATAATTATTATAATTATCAATATTATTATTGATAATTTAGGAAACTGAAGCTCTATCATTATTATAATAATTATGTATTTTTATTATTTTGTTATTGTTGTTATTATTATTATTATTATTATTATTATTATTATTATTATTATTATTATTATTATTTTTAATTTAGGGAACTAGAGCACATGTCCAGTTCCCTAGATCAAGAGCCCCTCACCAGCATCGAGGAACCTTGACACTGGTGAGGGGCTTCAGTTCCCTAAGTTATTATCAATAATAATTATAACAATAATAATAATAATAATAATTGCAATAACTATAGAGCTTCAGTTCCCTAAATTAATAATAATACATTATTATAACAACAAGAGCTTCAAAACGAAGCCAACTCAGTGCATTGTTTACCTAGGTGTGGGAGCAGTTCTCTCCTGCTTGGCTTATATTTTTGACAGTCATTTCACCAATTGTCGCTTTTCTAATCATAGGTCTTAAGAAAGTAAGTGTAAAGGGCAGTGCTGAGAAGAAAAAGAGGATGATTTCCATTTTATTATTATTATTTTATTATTTTTATATTTATTATTATTATTATTATTATTACTATTTTTGTTATTATTAATTTAGGGAACTAGAGCACATATCCAATTCCCTAGATCAAGAGCCCCTCACCAGCATCAAGGAACCTTGACACTGGTGAGGGGGCTTCAATTAACAGCAAAATAACAAACAAAAAAAATAAGGCACAATACCGTGACTGGAACGATACACAAATAACCCGCACATGGAAGAGAGGAACTTACGACGACGTTTCGGTCCGACCTGGACCATTTACAAAGTCACACTAACGAAAAGGAGAGCAGGATGGATATGTATAGGCAGGAGGTGGTAGTAGTAGTAGTAGTAGTGGAGGTGGAAGGAAGTAGTAGTGGGGAGGTAGTAAGAGAAGGAGGAGCCAGTCAAATACTACTAAGAAAGAGGAGCACTGCAAGGGAGCTAGGTGCCCACAGAGGGTAAGAGCAATAACACTGAGGAAGGGGGGAAATAAAAAAATAAATAAAAGAATAAAGAATGAACAAATACACAGGGCAGAAGAAAGACAATCCAAAGGAGAAAAGGAAAGAGGGAAGAGGAAGAGGGAGAAGAAGAAAAAGGAGGAATCAGGTTAGGTCATGGGTGTTCTGAAGTTTAGAGCATTTTACAATGTAGTGGGAAAGGAAGGCATCTACAGAGATGAAGCCAGGACTAAGATTCATACAAGGAAAGTTGTGTATTAAGGAGGATTCAACCAGATGGTGACTGTTAAAGTTGGAAGTAGGGAAGACAGTTTTAGCAGAAGACCAGTCAATAGGATGGCTGTGATCTCTGATGTGACAGGAAAGAGCATTGTTAGTGTCGGCAAGCCTAACACTACTTTTGTGCTCCCTAAGTCTGTCAGAAAGAGATCAGCCAGTTTCTCCAAAGTATTGAAGAGGACAGGAGGAACAAGAAATAGAGTAGACACCAAGAGCATCTGTAGAGGGAGGAGAGGTATGAATGAGATTAGTGCGAATAGTGTTAGTCTGCCGGAAAGTAAGTTTGATGTCTAAGGAACAGAGAGAGTTGTTGAGATTAGAAAGACCGGAAATGTAGGGAAGGCAGAGAACAGAAGAGTTACCAGGAGTAGAGAGCTTGGGAGAGAAGAAATTACGTTTGGCATGTGAGAAGGCAGAGTCTATGAAATGGGAAGGGTAGCCAAGACAGGAAAATGAATTATGAAGGGTGGAAATTTCTGATTGAAGGAACTGAGGATCACAAATGTGGAGAGCATGGAGAAAGAGGGAGATAAGAAAACTTTTCTTGACAGAGGAAGCATGATAAGAAAAGTTGCCTAAATTATTATCAATAATTATAATAATAATAATTACAATAATGATAAAACTTCAGTTCCCTAAATTAATAATAATACATTATTATAACGAGAGCTTCAGAGCGAAGCCAACTCAGTGCACTGTTTACCTAGCTGAGGGAGCAGTTCTCTCCTGCTTTGCTTACATTTTTCACAGTCATTTGGCCAAATTTCGCTTTTCTAAGCATGGGTCCTAAGAAAGCAAGTGTAAAGGACAGTGTTGAGAAGTAAAAGAGAATGATTTCCATGGAATTAAAGCTTGAAATCATTGATAAACAAGAGAGGTGTCCAGGTTTTGGGTTGAGGGGGAGGTGGGGGGAGCTGGCTCGTAACTCAAATGTTAGCTTCTAACTCAGAGCAAAAATTGACCGATCGATGGCTCATATCTCAAAAAACTCATACATTGGGACACTCGTAAGTCAAGGTTCCACTGTATAGTCTCTTATGGATTAATTTTTTTGAAGATTTTTTTAAATGACAAAGGTCTATAGTTATTTACATCAGTTAGGTCTCCTCCTTTATGTATACAGGTAGCAGGTGTAAGAAAACATACCCATTCACCCATACTGTGGACCGAGTGATCCCTAGTCCTTCAGTGCACGAGCTGAGGACACTGCCAGTCAGTCTATAAGCACCCTTGTTTAACATAGTCTAGTAAGCCTACTGGAGTGATTTTCTTTTATGTTCTTAATGCAGTAGACTGTGAATACAAGATCCTCTAACACACTTTTGGTAACACACTATTGCAAAATAAGAACATAAGAATGTAGGAACACTGCAGAAGGCCTACTGGCCCATACGAGGCAGGTCCTTATCAAAACGACATCTACCTAAAGCTACCCAAGAAATAACTCCCGTACCAATCAAACCCAGCCCCTCCCACTCATATATTTGTCCAGTCTCTTCTTAAAGCTACCCAAGGTCCTAGCCTCTATCACCCCACTGGGAAGACTGTTCCACGCATGTACAACTCTGATAAATTAGACACATGTGCAACTCTTGGTTATCTTTATTGAGGAAACGTTTCACCACACAGTGGCTCCATCAGTCCGTACGTAGGAGAAACTTGAAGAACAGGAGGAGAATGAGGTAATCAGTCCCTCAACCTTGAGTCGATGTGTTCAGTCCATCAATCTTGAATAGAATACGGCATATCAGCGGAGAAGCAGCTTATAAACCGTATGGCAGGAGAGGTGCAGCAGTCATAGGTCGTGTCA